CAAGGGGTTGAGGGGGCTCAGGGGGTGCGTGGGACAGTCGGGGAGCACAGGGGTGGGGACGGGGGCCTGGTGGGGGGAGATGCGTGGGAGAGCGCGGGGGGTGCCCCACGTCCCCAGCTGTGTCCCCCGCGTGTCCCCAGGGCTCCCTGCGCCACTTCCTGGGCCAGCACGTGGGGACGTGGGCGGGCAGCGTGCGCCTGGCGCTGTCCCTGGCCCGCGGCCCTGTCTTCCTGCACCGGCCTGTGTGGCCCGACGGTGAGGGTGGCACCCCTGGGTGAGGGTGGCACCCCTGGGTGAGGGTGGCACCCCGGGGTGAGGGTGGCACCCCTGGCGTCCCCTGCCCGGGGCTCCCCCCGCCCTGTCCCGCCGTGACCCCGCTCTGTCCCCAGGGCTGTACAAGCCCAGCGTGGTGCACCGGGACCTGAGCAGCCAGAACGTGCTGGTGCGGGAGGACGGCACCTGCGCCATCGGCGACTTCGGGCTGGCGCTGGCGCTGCCGCCGCGCGCCCAGGACAGCGCCGGCTCCCGGCACGCAGTGGCCATCCGCAAGGTGACAGCGGTGACACGGCCTGGGCTGGGCTGGCAGGGGACCCATGGGTGGCATGGCAGGGGATCCAGGGAAGGGAAGGGAAGGGAAGGGAAGGGAAGGGAAGGGAAGGGAAGGGAACAAGGTGACAGCCCTGGGTTGGGGATGGCACCCCAGATGTCTCTGGCACTGTGGGCTGTGGCTGCCAGCTGAGCCCGTGCGCCCACACGAGCCTGTCCCTGGCCTGGTGGCCCTGATGGCCCTGATGGCCCTGGTGGTCCCGGTGGCCCCGTGCCCCGAGCTCAGGGCCCGCTCGGGCGCAGGCGGGCACCCAGCGGTACCTGGCACCCGAGATCCTGGACGAGAGCCTGGACCTGCGGGCCTGGGGCCGGGCGCTGCGCCAGGCCGACGTCTACGCGCTGGGCCTGCTGCTCTGGGAGATCCTGTCCCGCTGCCAGGCGCTGAGCCCCGGTGAGCCCCGGCGAGCCCCCGGCCCCCCGCGCCGCCCCCGGCCCGCTGACCCCCGGCCGCCCCGNTCTGGGGGGGGTCCCGGGGGTCGGGGGGGGTTTGGGGTGCCCAGGGGTGCTGAGGGTGCCCCTGCCCCTGCTTTGGGTGTCACCCGGGGGTCCCGGGGGTCCCAGGGTGGCTGGGGTGTTTGGGGGGGTCGCTGCCCGGGGTCCCCCCCGATGCCCAGCGATGGCGCTGAGGGCAGCGGGGGCTGTCCCCGCTCGGGGGTGGCACCCCGGGGTGTCACCTGCGGGGGTCCCGCAGCCCGGGGGGGCTCTGCCGGAGCTGCTGGAGGATTGCTGGGACCCGGACCCCGAGGCGCGGCTCTCGGCCGAGCGGGCGCTGCAGCGGCTCCAGCGCTTGGCCGCGGGGCCCGCACCGGCCCCGGGGGACCCCGGCCCGGGGACCGCCCCCCGCCAGGTGCGTGCGGGGAAACTGAGGCACGGGGCGGGCAGGGGGATACAGGGAACCCACTGGGGACATGCGGAGATACTGAGGCACGGGGCGGGCAGGGGGATACAGGGAACCCACTGGGGACATGCGGGGAAACTGAGGCACGGGGCGGGCAGGGGGATACAGGGAACCCACTGGGGACATGCGGGGAAACTGAGGCACGGGGCGGGCAGGGGGATACAGGGAACCCACTGGGGACATGCGGGGAACGCAGCCCCCCCACCCGGGGGTGCTCCCCCAGCCGGGGGTGCTGCCCTCGTTCCCCCCCGCGCTGGACAAGAAGGCGGCGAAGAAGATGAAGAAGAGGATGAAGAAGGCTCACAAGAGGCACAAGGTGGGGGGGGGGGACCCGGGGGGGCACACAGGGGGTCACCCCCAGCCCCTCCGGGGGCTCATGGCTCTGCTGTTCCCCCCCCAGCGCTCTTCGTCCTCCTCCTCCTCCTCCAGCAGCTCCGACTGAGGCTCCTGGGACCCCCAGGACCCCCAGCATCACCTGGGACCAGCAGGAGCCACCTGGGACCTCTCGGGACCACTGTGACCAGCCGGGACCCCCCAGGACCCCCAGCATCACCTGGGACCCCCCAGGACCCCCGTCCTGTCCCCGTGCCGCCCATGCCCTGCTCCCGGGGGGTCCCGGGCTGTCCCCGCTGTCCCCCAATAAAGCTCTGGGACACCCCAAGGTGTGTCTGCGTCTCCTTGGCGCCGGTGGGGGCTGGGCTTGGGGGGGACCCAAACCCCAATGCTGCCCGGGGTGGGGGGGGGGCTGCCCCCGTGCCCCCCGTGCCTCCCAAATCTTCCTATTGCCCCCCAAGCCCTCCTATTGCCCCCCAACCCTTCCTATTGCCCTGCAGTGCCCCACAGCTCCTCACACACAATTCTACCACACTTTTAATCGCTCCCCGTTACCCCCAGTTCCCTCAGTGCCCCCCCAATGCCCCCATTGC